ATATATATAATATATTTTGCTCTTGTTGGTTATACGTCAATTGTGTTTGAAAGTTATTGTATGTGAAAGTTTTAAGTTTACGTTACGATAACTTAAGGTTCCCCTCCCCCCTCACTTTTTACAATTAAAGTCGCTGATAGGTTACGGTATTTAAAAAATTATCCCTTTCCCTTTGCGGTTACAGTCTCCGAAGATAGGTTAAGTTAAGTTACGATATCTAAAGGTCCCCCCCCCACGATTATGCAGTTATAGTTAGTTTAGGTTGGGGTAGGTCAGGTTAGGCTAGGTTACTTTTTTTATGTATATATATTTTTTTATTTTTCATTGTAAAAATACAGTTATTATATAATTTCTAGTTATTTATATTGTAGTAAGTAAAAAAATTTCATATTCTTGCCTATTTCCGCGCTTTCTTAAACTACACCATTATTTAAGACATTAATGTATATCCTATTGTTTTTTTTAATTGTCCTTGGCTAAAGTATTGTGCATCCTTTTTGGCTTTCAAGTTGTTTTTTGCTTCACACAGTTAACTTAACTTAACAGTTTAAGTGAGTGTTTTCGTCATATACAATATAAATGTAATAATGTCCACCCCTCGCGCATCTAAGGGCATATGAAATTTTGAAATACGCCTAATAGCAGCTGCTTGGGCTGCTTGTCTTTATTTCATATTCAAGTTTATTTTGGGGTGGAGGGGAGCCCTTTTCAAAAAACTATAAAATTCCTAAATAATACATCCAAAAATCCGTAAATTGCGTCCCAGAATGTTCTTTGCAAAAACGAACTGCTGGAAACGACTCCTCCAGGTCTGTGTCCGTCCCATTTGATCCATTCACCCAAACTCAAAAGGAATCACTTCGTACCTTCGGGGTTATATTGAGGGGCCATAATAATCAATAATGCATTAGTTTTGGGACAACCCTCGTATTCTGTAGAAGACGTTAGGGGGCGTCCATAATTACATGAGACGTTTAGGGGGTCAAGCCGAATCTCACACAATTTCACGTGTGGGAAATAAATATCATGTAATTTTTTTCCGTAAGAAACAGTATAATATATAGCGATAAACGGGGTTAAATTAAATAAAGCATGTTTCTCCACTATTAGTTTAGTTAAAATACACAATGTTTATCGCAGTTAACCGAATGCAAGTTGCAAGTATAATAGCACAGTAGCCCCTTGATTTTTTAGCCGTCACCGGGCAGCCAAACGCGCAACTCAACCAACGCTGCACTAGCGACCTACTGCTGCTGTATTTACGCCCATATAAATAAAAATAATTACGCAAATTATGTTTTTTTTTTCTTAATAATCCAAAATGATACCAAGTACTATACTTACCACAAAAGTGCACAAGATTTCGGAAAGTCGTAAATTTATAGTAAACGTGATGGAAAAGTGACTGACTGACTGGTTTTAGGTATCTAGGAAGTCAGATAAGTCAGGACGGAAGGAGTGTAGCGATATAAAGCAGAGGATAGCGCAGGGTCTATGCTCGCAAACGATTAATTTAAAAATTCGAAGAAGGTTGTTAAAAGTGTATGTTTGAAGCGCGGCGCTGTAGGGGTATGAAACATGGACGGTGGGCGCGGCGGAAAAGAAAAGGTTAGAAGCGTTCGAAATGTAGTGCTGCAGGCGAATAATGAGGATACCGTGGATAGAGAAGGTTAGGAATGAAGAGGTACTAAAAAGGAATAGGAGAACAGAGGAGTCTATGGAAGTCAATAAGAAATAGGCGAGATAGGTTAATAGGACACCTTCTCGGGCATGAAGGTCTAGTCAGAGACATATTAGAGGCAGAAACGGGAGTTAGGAGGGGTAGAGGTAGACCTAGATTAGATTACTGTTCGCAAATAGTTAAGGATGTGAGTTGTTCTAGTTTTAGGAAAATGCGAAGATTAGCTCAGGATAGGAAAGAGTGGAGGTGCGTGTCCAACCAGTCTTAGGACTGACAACTTTATGATGATGATGATTAATAATCCAACGCGATCAGACACAGATTAACGTTACGCTAACAATATGCATTTTGAAAAGTTTCACGTGAGATGGGGCAGAAGGTGGTAGAGCCAAAAATCACCAAGGGGGGAGGGGGATTGAAAAATCACCTCACGTAAGTAATGGATGCGTTTTACCAAGCAAAATGCGAAATTATGAGCTGCTGTTGACAATTTAATGTAGAAATGAATTTTCCAACTGGAGACAGTAAATTTATCCATGCTTTAATTTATATTACTACAACTTGCATTTTACTTGTTTCTCACTACTTTATTTGACTTTCATGCTATTCCAAATACAATGACGGCATAAGAACTCCTTACTCTTGCAAACGTATTGTTCGTGTAAACAATCAAACATGCGCATACTGTAAACACACGCTCTATTCAGCCTGTGGCTTCATTTTTTTTACTTGTTCCTTTCGAGATGTTTAGTTGGGGATGTTCAACCACTCAATTAACAACTACCAAAGCTGTTAATCTGTAATTTCGTTTAAGTTCAGCAATTTTTTTATATACCTACGGAAAATGTTGGTGATGATGGATATAATTGAAACTTTTCTTATCATTCAGTTTACTATTTGTGAGTATTATTAGTATAATTATTCGTACATTTTATAGTGATTATAATCTCGAATAAACTTATAATGAAAAAATACCATCCAAATATAAAACAGCGCCAAATATTTCTTTTTGTTGGATAACTTGTTTTCTTACTTTTCAAATTAAATGTGAATATCAGATATATAACTTTTTTTATTTCATATGAATTTGTGAATTAATATCAATTTTATTTTTTATGGTTAACTAATATAAAAAGTATGATAACTTATTCGTTTTTTGCATTTAAATTCGTAAGACGATATTGGAAGTTTACTGACATTTTTAGATCCCAGTGAAGCAGTTCTATATTAAATTCAAAATAAACAACAAAGGCATTTTTCAAAAATATTTTTAGTTACAATTGATAAATTTAAAAGCAATTTATAATGGCATCAGAAAATTTAAGACAAAGTGTGTTTGTGTTCATTACGTTTATATAAAAACCGAATCGTTTCTACAACGTTTATTTGGAATACGGAACAACGTAAGACAGCACGTGTTAGACGAAAACCATTTGTTTCTCTTTTTTCTACTTTTACAAACCTTTTCTATACTTGTTGGTCTAAATTTTGTTTTTAAGCAAATCAAAAACGGATTATTTCTTTATAAACCATTAAAAGGGTTAATAAATATGTTTATTATATTTTAATTTTTTTATTATTTGTTTTTTTAAAATGAGCACGTCAGTATCTACTTCTGCATTTGCAATAAATTAAAAAAGTCATCGTAATTTTTATACATACATAATTTATTTTTAGGCGTTTTTGGTTTAAAAAATGTGAATATAGTAATCGAACCACCTATTGTTGAAAAAGGTAATAGTGTGACTATACAATGTAACTATGATTTGGAAGGTGAACTTTTATACATTGTAAAATGGTATCGAGGGCAAAGAGAATTTTATAGGTACGTTCCCCAATCCAGGCCCACAACTATGAAATTCCCGTTTAATGGTTTAGATATTGATGTAAGTAAAACAAATACATGAAAACATTGTTTAATTACAAATTAATATTTTAATATATACGCTGAGTACTTATGAAATTAGTTTATTTAATTTGTTGTCCATGTTTTTCAAACAAAACATGTTAAATATTATATGAGAGCTGAAACCCTAACATTAATTAATTAATTGCGTCCAAATAATTTCATTTATAGCGTGCATATATTCTCCGTTTACTACACCCTTCATATATGTCTCATGAGAATAACTACGGTTTTAATTTATTTCTTTTACCTCCAAACTACTTTTGCAATTATTTTTCCCTACTATAAAAAATGAAACAATACAGTAAACTAAGTACTTTACTAATTATAGAGTAAAAGAGAGTATAATATCGACGACAATGGCTTAAACCGATAATTTTATTTAACCCTCCATTACTAACATGATTTTTGTATAATAATAATATTTTTCAGGTTATGAATTTTTGAAAGTCTGAATATACAGGGTGACCTAAAATGTACCCAATATGCTCATTGTAGTCAATCGTAAGTTTAATCGAAAATTTTTTCAAACAAAACGTTTCCTGTTTTAAAACAATTTCGTCTGTATTATCCAGATTTGATTTACTATACACAGTGTTAAAAAAAAAGAAAAACTAAGATTCCAATCAAAAAAAGTTATAGGAAAAAGTTATTCACAATACTAACGTATGGGGCTATGTCAAAAATCGCAGCGATATTCGAATGTTTTTTTTTTCGAATCAAAAGGCCCAAAAAATTCGCAACATGCTCATTGCGGCTAAACTGAAAGATTAATAAAACAAAATTTCAAACAAATCTTATTCCGTATTTTAACACAAGATCGTCTGTATTATCTGAATTTACGCTTGCTGGCTGATCGTCTGCAAAGCGCTAATATAAGATGCGCTAGGATCATTTTCCAACAATAATATCATTTTACAATAGTGACTGTCTTATTTACTTAACATATTAAACCTTATTCTTATTCCTATCGTATATCCTTAACATGTTATTAACTCTCCTATCCATGAGCGATCTACAATTCTACCCTTCTTTCTTTGCCCATACTGACACCTATTTTAACCTTAATCTATTATTTAATTTTTTTTAATATTACAAGTCTATTTCCTCACCCTTAAAACTTAATGTCTTACAATCCAACATTATCTCCTATTTCTTAAAGTCTGCTTTAAATCAGTCTGACTTCCACCCTCATTGATCAACTCAAAACATTCGTCCTACTTTCCAACATTCTTACATGCCCCTAATACATGTTTCAAGCTCTCTTTTACATATCCTACATCTTCTTTCTTCTTCCTTTTTCCAGTATGTATTCACATCCCTTATATTCGTTCCCTGTCCTAAATCTTGCTACTACATTTATCTCGCTCCCCTCTTTTAAATACCTTGGCACCCATTTTCCCAGCCAGTCCCTCCATTTAATTCCTTTCATACCCACCACATATCTAGATCTCTCTATTGTTTTTAAACTCTCTTCTCTTATTATTTTCTTGCATCTATTTCCCACTAATTTTCCAACTTTTTTTTTTCCTCCCTTTCTCTATCGTATCTACTTTTTATTCCTATTTCCATTACCTTCCTCCTCCATATTTCTTTCCTTATATCCCCTTCTTTTTCCTCATATGTATATTAAACAATTGTGCATTTAGCAGTTTGTATCCCTGCTTTACTCCTCAAATCGTCTAAAATTTTCCCCATCTTATACCATTCATCCTTACTACTACCACTGTTTCCCTGTATCTTTCCATTATTCTTTCTACTTAATTCCCTTCTAACCCCAATTCTATCTGATTGCACACATTTTGTATATTTCTACAGGCGTAAACAGTTGATAAAAGCAATTCAGGATCTCATGCCCTTGGATTGCGTGGTGACAAAACTTCAACCACTCGTAGATTTTTGCCTCTTAATGAAGTGTGAACCAACAAAATCTGTAAACCTTCCTACTCTACAGGAGATACAGTGGATTTGAACCTAGGTTTAGTAAGTGAGCTTAATCAAATGGAGGAAGAAAATCATACTGCTCTACTGTGGACATACAAAGTGAATGAATGCATTCTTTAAATTGGCGTACCTAAATGTTCGAGCTGCGTATTAATTATATTTATTTAATTATGCAAAGTAAAAGTAGTGCCGAAAAAAATACAAAACAAATCATGACGACATCTTCCGAACAAAAACTTCGTTTTTTGGAATACTATTGNAGTTGTTTTTCGGCATTTGTTTAAACAATCGTGATTTAAACAATGCCCGACCGGGTTACCCACTGGCAACCTATATCGTTGTGTTAAGGAGAATTTTCCTAACAAAACTGCCTAAAAAAATTTAGTCCGAAAAACTTTTCCCACTCTGCCGCCCATATTGCCTGGACTATTTGCAATAAATGTGCCACTTATTGGCCAACTACCCATTACTGAAAATAGCTAACTGCTCGACCACATCGACCTTCGACACGAGATGATAAATAAAAGGCTAAACATAAAGGAGCGGTATATCAGACAGCATTTTAGAAGGGTTAACAAATGCTAAAAGCATTCTGAATATTATATAATTATTTATAACACTAAAAACACTTTAATAAAGTAAGAAATTACATGTATTAATTCCAGTCACAGAAAAGTAAAATGCGTCTGAAAATAAAAATCATAATTTTTGAAATTTGAAGATCACAACAGAGCCGCTGCTAGCCATCTGGTAGTCCAGTAGAGATGGATTATTCTTTTTAAAAAGGTTTTCCACTTTCTCGACATGATAATTATAAAGAAATAGTAAGAACTTGATGTATATTGTAATGTTCGTGGGTTTAACAAAATTAACTTCTAGGACTGATAACGACAAAACTATTTATTTACAATAATTATTAAAGAACTTAAGAACACTATTAAATTATTACTAAACTTAGGTTATGAATTATTCTATTTATTTACACTACTGTTGATATATCAGTATTCACTGCGCTATTTATTTCACTTCTATCACTGTCAATTTATTTCTTGATTCACTTCTGCAACGGTCAATTTATTTCTACTTATACTCTTTTGTTTCCTTTCGGGAACCTTCTCGAACCGTCCGGAAAAGTTTCTTTTTCTTTGAACTGTTTAATTGCTTTCTCAGAACGCAGGTACGACACACACGGCGAATTGATAAGCCGCTCACACACACGTATGCCCGATCGCACATAAATACGCTCGTGCTCGCTACAATATGTTTTAGAATGTTTTCAGTACCTGTGTAGGAACATGGCGAAAAGATTGCTTAACCCGAGTTAGATTTTTTTTTAATTCACGGCCGCTTTCTTTACAAGAATCAATTGATCGAGTTTGGTTTACTGCGACTTCGTAGCGGAGAGGAAAGGAATAACGGTTAGGAAAACCATACAATTCTGAAAGCTTTAACGGATTGCTTTGGCACTTCCTGTCTCCCCGGGAACCTGTTTCTACCTCCTCCCATCCTCATCCCGCTCCTGTGCTAAAATAAACTAAACCAAAACCGAATTAAGAAACGCATCCAACTGCATTAGGTAGTCTAAGATCTAATTTGTTTTTCAAAAAATACTTACGTCTGGTCTGCTCAGAAATTGATATATTTACAGTGTATGTACACTGTAGAAGGTATCCCATTCTCGGCACTTTTTTGTACTTTTTTCTCCCTTATTGTTGAAATTAAAGGGTTGTTGTTTTACGACAGTGTGCTACTTTTTGTGAAATTAAAGATGGTGTGAACAGAATTTTCATTTCCCTTCTGGTTTTTAAGATAGAAGGTGGAATTCAAAAATATCATCTTTGAGGCACCCCTTCATATCTCAGGTATCCTTAAACTTATCGAAAAGAATTAAAACGTGTTCTTATAGAATTTTGGTTTGTATTCCAGTGGCATAATAGCTTTTTCTAGGATCTTCCGTTTTTTAGTTATAACGCAAACAAATTTTTTGTATGGAACACCTAGTATATTATTTTTTAAATTATTAAACATAATGTGGAATTTCCATAAATATATAATTACTTGCAATTATTTTCAAAAACAAGCTCAGAATTTAATATTTTCTAAAATTTTCTTTTGTATCACATTGGTAGGGCTAATTTATTTCAAACAAAAAGC